TTGTACTTTTTTTTTTTTTTTTTTTAAATAGATCTTTATTGATTTCAGAGAAAGGAAAGGCGAGGGAGAGAGAGAGATAGAAACATCAATGATGAGAGAGTCATTGATGGAGCCCGTAACCCGGGCATGTGCCCTGACCGGGAATCGAACCCCAATCGCCTGGATCCCAGGTCGACGCTCAACCGCTGAGCCACGCCTGGCCGGGCAGTATTTGTACATTTTAACTTAAATGCTATGGATTAATATTTCTCATTGATGTTAGTCTTTGTCTTCTTTCAGAAACTGGTTTGAGCTGGATTGTTCTGTCTTTCACATAGACTACCATTGTGAGATCAATAGAATAACACTCTCAAATTGCGTTTAGCATGTGTAGTCTCTGTTATTTCTGACTTTCATCTAATTTAAACATCCTCCTGTTTGTAGTTTTTTGCTTTCTTCCTGAAGATGAGATGGCTTAAATGAAGGAGGAAGGAAAGAAATTAATTATTGAGTACTTCCCTGTGCCATGCATTGTTTTAGGGGCTTAGGTATCATTTAAGTCTTAAAAGACAGGTAGTAATGTCTTCCTTTTACAAATGAGAAATGGATACTTGGAAAAGAAATAAATTGCTGACATAAGAAACAGAGCTATAATTTGTTAATGGTGGTAGCCTGGTGTACCGGAAAGAACAGCAAACAGGGAATCAAGAGGCTCAGATTATAATCTTGTATCTGTTCCCCACGACTTTAGGGGGAAAACTTAATCTCTCTGGACTTTAGTTTTCTCGTCTGCAAATGAGAGGGTGGTCTGGATGATCTCAAAAGGCCTTCTAGTTTTAGGTTCCTGAATTCTCTATCTTCTTAAAATTCCTCTGAGCCTTTAATTTCACAGACTTTATATTTTTAACTCTGTGTAATTATTCACTTGACTTATTTAAAATCTACTTGATATATTTTACTCCCGTGTGTGTTTGTGTGTTCCCGCGATTTTGCAAGATAGAAAGTGTCATTCCACATCCCTGCAAGACAGAAGGTATTGCTCCCTGACTGGCCCAGGCGCTCACAGCTAGTGAGTCCTGGAGCAGGGTTTCAGTCCATGTCCGTCTCACTCAGAAGCCCAATTCTCTGCCTGCACATATGCTGACTGTTACCCTAAGGAGATTCTTGTATAAGTATGTTTAGGTAGTTTGTGTAGTAGAAATACTAGATGAACCTTTAAAAAGTGAAATCTACCTGAGTAAACTGAACTTTATGTGTAAAGCATGTTATAATGAAAACAAGCTATTTGTGTCACTTAACTGAATATTAAAAGCAGAGGTATGGATAAGCACTCTTTTTTCCCCCCATGAAATCTGATGGGTGAGATTAATCTGAGAAAAATTAAATGGGTACTTTTGTATTTGTTTAGCTGCTATTGAAAATTCTGTTTGTTAAAGTGTTGTGTACGTATAACATCTCCACATATTTTGTATTTCCATGCAAATGTGCACCTCTGCTGTGAATTACAGACCCATGAATACACTGACTTTAACAGGCCAGTTCAGTTTTGCGGAAGTTCACTCCTGGGTGGTGTTTTGCCTTCCTGAAGTTCCTGAGAAGCCTCCAGCAGGAGAATGTGTGACATTTTACTTCCAGAACACCTTCCTGGACACACAACTGGAAAGTACCTACAGGTAATACAACCCATTACCGGTTCACAAATGTTCTGATCTAAATGGAGCTTCTACATTTTCTTTTGTTTTAGAGCAGGAATAATTTGTAAATAATAGAATTGAAACGTATACTGTTCAAGAGAATCTATTGAAAAACAAGTGGAATTAATGAGTTTTTAAAAACAATTGAATAAAGATGAATATGAAAGATCAATACATTTCCCATTCCCAACAATAACCAGTTAGAAAATAAATTGTTTAAAACAACCCTTTCACAGTAGCAGTAACAGTAACAAAATGTCCGTATAAAAGCTGTAGGAACAGTCTTTATTAGAAATATGCAGAAGTGCCCTGGCCAGGTTGCTCAGCTGGTTAGAGGGTCATCCCAATAAGCCAGGGTTTGATTCCTGGTCAGGGCACTACAAGAATCAGTCACTGATGCATAAACGAGGGGAACAACAAATCGATGTTTCCATCTTTCTCTCTCCTTTCCTCTTATTATTTAAAAGCAATAAATAAAATTTTAGAAAGTTACATGAAGAAACTTTAAAATTTTATTGACATAAAAGACTTGATTCAATAGAGTAATGTATTCTGTAGTCCTTAATATGAAGACATTGTAAACTTGGCAGTCCTCCCCAAATTGATTCGAACATTAGCCTAATTCCAGTAAAAATTCCAACTGAATTTCTTCATGCAAAAATTGGAACTGACGCAGAACTTCAGAGCTGAGGACATGCAGGCTTTTGAAGCCTCGTGCTCTGAGGTGGAGGCCGCTAGTTGCAGCCCTTGCCTTCCCTCCTGTCCTCTCGGCTCCCGCAGCTTGTTTCCGAGTTCAGAAGGGCCTAAACTCCCCTCCTTCGCGCCCGCGCCCAGGGTGCAGCCACTTCCTTCTCTAGGGCCGGTTTCTCCGCTCTGCTCCCAGCCCACACCCTCCCGCTGCTTCAGGGTCGTTGCCTTCTCATTCCCACTTCATCTGTAGGTTGTTTTTTGTTTGTTTGATCTTTTGTTGTTTTAATTTTGTGTTATTTGGAGGGGAGTGGGCTGCTTATCCTCTCTCTGTCTCGGTCTCCTGGGGTCCTTTGCCTGAGCAGATTACTGAAGAATTCTGCGCCCTGCTTCCAGCTGAGACTTTACTATGCTAATTCTGGAAAAGGCAGTGAACACATCATTTCACCTCAAAATGCGCCTTTTAGAACCTAGAGCTCTCCGGAAATCTAATAGGTTTCAGGATCAGTCCTAGGGAGCTGTTTCCTGTATCTTCCAGGGAACTTACCTGTGTCCAAACCTGGAATACGACTCCTGTTTTGAAGTGCTACAGTGACCCCCGACCTCAGCGGTAGCCCACAGCTGGACGGGCCCGCACACCGTGCGGTTTAGGGCTCGCCGTGCCCTTGACTCTTCCTTCCTCCCCAGTGGAAGCTCTGCCTGCTCTTCAGGGACCAGCGCAGTGACTGCGTTTTTAGGCCTTTCGTGATTCTCTTCTCTGTTCCCATAGCATTTTATTCCTACTTGCCTTAGGTGTTGTATTATTTTTTTGAAGTACATGACTATGTAAGCTTTGAGCTCTAAATTAAACTAAGCTCCTCATGGGCAGAGTCTGTTCCTTTTTATTTTATTTTAATTATTTATTTATTTTTATTGATTTTAGAGAGGGAGGGAAAGGGGGAGAGGGAAAGAGAGGGGGAGAGACATCAATTTGCTGCTCCACTTACTTGTGCATCGTTGGTTGATTCTTGTATGTACCCTAACCCGGGATAGAACCTGCAACCTTGGCATATCAGAGATGATGCTCTAACCAACTGAGCTACCAGGCCAGGGCTAGAGTCTACTTCTTAATTACCTTTGTGTGTATCCTCCAAGTACCTAACACGTGGCTTTGAACATAATGGTGCTCAATAAATGTTAGGTATCTGAATAAAATACATATATGTGGGGAAGTACAGAAGCATGTGCTCTGGAGGCAGACCTACCTCAGTGTGAATCTTGGTTCTGACTCACCAACTTTTGATCTTAGCTAGATTACTTTACTCGTTGAGCTTTATTCTTCTGAGGAATGGAAATAATAGCACTTACTCATTGAATTGTGATGATTAAAAGAAGATAAGTCATGTAAGTCATTGCACAGTTGTCAGGTACTAGGTGTTTAACATTAAACATCATCAGTTAAAATTAAAGGCTAGTGAAAAACCTCATGACTTCTAAAATATAATTGGGATCAAAGTAGTAAGTATGTATTACTCATCTTTCTAGAGGAAAGAAATCAGTATTTGCCTATATAAACTGTGTGTGTGTATAAAAACCAAACCAAAAGGCAACATTGAATACATGAAAAATGGTATATGTTAATCGGGAAACTTTTGGTCATCAGAAAAAGGAACCAAACACAAAGAGGCTTAACCAAGTAAAAGGAATTTATCGGCTCCTACAACTTACAAGTACAGCAGTTCTCGGCCTAAGGACAGCTGATCAGTGGCTTAAGTGATGTCATCAAGACTTGATTTCTTTCCATTGCTCAGCTCTGTTTTTGTCTTTTCTTGCCTTTCCTGTGTAGTGTCATGGTGGCCACCAGAAGCGCCACCCAGCTTTATATCCTGTCAGCTACCATAGAGCCTCTCTCTCCCACTGGTTCCAGTAAAAAAAATAGTCCCAGGATTTAGTATCATTGTTGAGTATCATTGAGAACCACTGTGGTCAGTGGTCTGGAACACACTGTTAAATGCTTCCTCCTGAAGTCCCAGAAATGGGGTTGAGGCAAGTGCTGGTGGATTGAGAAGGGTGAGAGAAGTGGGGGGGTTCTCTAAAGAAAAGGGTCCTCTGACCATAAGAAGTGGCAGTGGATGCTAGGCATGAAAAAACAGATGTTACCCTTGGGTTTGATATCAGCTTTAGGATGAAGCATATAGTCATGCTCTAATTTATGTGAGTCCATCAAAGAAAATGTACTTATATGTAAGTAAGCAACTCTGTATTTTATATACATAAGGGGTTAGCTATTGAGAATTTTATTAGTGAAAATGATAAGCTGTTTTAAATGAAGGACATACAAATTGGCATATCTTTAGGAGGCCTATATCTAACATCTTTTGTTAAGTTTTACAAGTATGTTCAAAACTTGAATTAATATAGCAATAAAAGGTTACACATTTAAAAATGCTTTATATTAATAATGAGATGTGTATATAAAGAAATCTAAAATCAAATGAAATCTAAACACTAGTTACTAGTTACAAAATATGTATTTACTGGGTGTATTTCCTTCTAAAGCTGTTCTCTTACAAATATATATTAATTTTGTAGAAAAGGAGAAGGAGTTTTTAAATCTGACAACATTTCTACTATATCCATCCTAAAAGATGTGCTCTCTAAAGAAGCTACAAAAAAGAAAATTAACCTCAACATATCATATGGTAAAAAAGAAAAATGAATCTTTTTTTAATGGTGTTTGGTTTTTTGTTTGTTTGTTTTTTGGTTGTTGTTACAATAAGAATATTTCTGATCAAAATGACTTTCTATTTGTGCCTGGCTCAACTCCTTTTAGAGATCAATGAAGTGTCGGTAAAACACACTCTAGAGCTAATCCACCCAAAGCTGGAGTACCAGTTGCTTTTGGCTAAGAAAGTGCAGTTAATTGATGCTCTAAAAGTAAGTGTATGTGTCATGGACTCGTTCTCATTATTTTATTGTGATAGGATTTCTAAAATGGTATAAAGACTTTAAAGTTACATTGAACTGAAATTTAAATGTTATGTTCCTTCTGTTTTTAATTTAAGGAATTGCAGGTCCATGAAGGAAATACAGACTTTCTGATACCAGAATACCGCTGTATTCTAGAAGAGGCAGATCACCTACAGGAAGAATACAAAAAGCAACCTGCACATCTTGAAAGGCTCTATGGTTAGTGGACTATTCCAGAATATTTTGCCATAGTTCCTTTCTCCTGGCTATTCCAGAGAAGCTGCACAGAGGAGGCAGGCAGGTTATGGCAGTTATGAACCTGTGACAGCCAATTTGTTGCTTACCATATTTATTTTGTCAAGATCATTTTAATATTTAATATTTTTACTGGATAAAATGCAAGTAAAATTAAGAAGTAAAATAAGCTTAATGCAGTGGATTTATATATGTGAAGAAACCTTTCCAGCGTGGCTCAGTAGTTGTGGGCTCGATCCCCAGTTGGGGACATGCAGGAGGCAGCTGACCAGTGACTCTCTCATCATTGATGTTTCTGTCTCTCTCTCTCTCCCTCTCCCTTCCTCCCTCTGAAATCAATAAAAACATAGTTTTTAAAAAAAGAAAGAAACCTGGTGTGAAATGAAAAAAATCTATGAAGCATTAAAATTTAGGCTATATTTCACACCGGTAACTTTCAGGTTTTGTTGCTATTGTGAAAATCAACCTGCAGCATTTAATATTTTTTAGCAAGGGATATAATATTTAATAAGGGATATATAGGTGCTGTGTCAAACCAAAACTCATTTTGCTTTGGTGGTAGAAGTTGGGTGTTTCACAAATTATATTGAAAGAGAGGGAGAGCAGGAGGGAAGGAACAGCTTAAGAAAAACTTTTGTTTTGCAATCTTTACATGAGACCTGTTGTGCATAGCACACCTGTTTACTTACAGCATCTTCATAATCAGGTAGGATATTTAATCCTTACAACGGCTCTGCAAGGTACATGATGTCATCTCCATGTTTCACATTTTTTAATGTGAAATCTGAGACTAATGAATCGACTGTAACATGGGTGGGTAGTGGCAAAGCCTGCAGAAGCTCCTCACCCCAAGTGCATGCTTTTGTGCTATTTCAAGTCTTCTGTAGCGTTAATTGCTATCATCGGTCAACATTGATCCTTCAGCCTGCGTAATGAATTTCTTATTTTATACCAGAGACTTGCTCACAACTGTGATGATAATATCTAATACTGTATCTTAGTATTTGCTATATGGCAAGCACATGATCTCTTATCCTGACAGCAACTTAGAAGATTTGTGGTGTAGAACCACCATCTCTCCTCACCGATTCCAAAATCTAGAAAGCTTTGAAAATCAAAGCTGTTTCCATAAATAATTTTGCATCAAACCTGACTTGGTCTGAATTAACTTAATGACAGAAACCTCACTTAAACTGACATGAGGTGTTTTATAGTCTTTTTTTTTTATCGCGCTTAGTGTGGTTTACCCATGAGTTTTGTTGCAGAAGTATTGCTCTGTTTTGTTATCAAAAGCTGCCACTCACTCACCTTGGGTGTGATGCCATGTATGCATATTTTTCTGAACTGAAAAATTCTGAAAGGCCTCTCGCATCTAGGGTTTTGGATAAAGGGTTGACAAGTTGAATTATTTCCATTGTACATATGAGAGAACTTAAAGGTGAAATAATTTGCCCAGGTCTCTGAACCTAGAAATATTTGCCTTCAAGCCACATTCCAAGAATAGTCAACATATAGATGGAATATATATATATATATTTTTTTAAATCCTCACCAGAGGATATTTTTTCCATTGCTTTTCAGCTTTTCAAAGAGAGTGGAAGGGGGAGAAAGAGAGAGAAACATCAATTTGAGAGAGACACATTGATTGGTTGCCTGCTGCACATGCCCCAACCAGGGCTGGGTATGGAACCTGCAACTGAGGTACGCGCCCTTGGCTGGAATTGAACCCAGGACCCTTTAGTCTGCAGGCCGACACTCTAACCACTGAGCAAAACTGGCTAGGGCTAGATAGAATATTTTAATCTAAATAAGCCTGTTGAGAACAGAATCTCTGCACTATGTCAAATGGTCAGCCTGTTATGAAATTCGAACTTGTGATGCCATGTATACTAAGAGCAGTTCAGAACTCATCAGCAGTTGATTGCCTGAATTAATAGCTATAACCAGTTGTTAAGAGGGTTATTAGCCAAATGACTTATATTTTGAAACTTGCCTTAAAATCTCCCCAAAATATTTTTTAAAGCATCAATCACTTTAGGTTTGTGTATAAATAATGGAATTACAGGTGATTAGGAAAAGATTACCAAGCAGTCATTTACTTTCATTAAATACTGTCATTAATTAGAACTAATCAATAACAGGAAATTAACATTTTCTTTATAGGCATGATCACCGATCTTTTTATAGATAAGTTCAAGTTCAAAGGCACCAATGTAAAAACCAAAGTACCTCTTTTACTGGAAATTCTGGACAGTTATGACCAAAATGCATTGATTGCTTTCTTTGATGCTGCATGAAATATAAACAAGGTAAAGTTCCAGAGAAGTTGTCTCTTTAGACAAAATTGTTAAAGCAAAATTACAAGCTAACTGTACATACTTTTATTTCAAATACTTTTAAATATTATCTAAAAATATTTGAGATATGACTTTCTAAAATAATGCTTCTATATCTTTTGACGCATGCAAACTTTTAAAAATAAATAGCATTTTTATTTTTAAATACAAGTGGAATGATTATAAGGGATTTTAATTAATTTTTTGCAAGTGGTGTTTTAACTTTTATGTTGAAAAATAATATTTGGAAAATAAAAATACACAGTGTGGGACTAAAGTAGGTTTACAGTTCATATGGAAAATTACAATAATTAATGCAATAATAAACAATACAAGAATAAATTCTGTTTTGTATACTCACAACTATAAACCTACTTTTGCCCCACTCTGTATTTAAATACTTAAGAAGCTACTCCCACACAGTATATGTATAAACTGCTTCAATTTTCAGAATGTATTTACATTTGTAACTCATTTGACTTTCACAACATATAGTATTTTGCCAAATCATATAACAAAACTGATTTTCACTGAGGTTAAGTGATAAAGAGGACATGCTATTATTTTATAAAGCTGAGACTAGAACCCACATCCTGGTGCCTGGCTTGTGTCCTGGTTATTATGTATGTTGTCAGCCAGTGGTAGTAACCTACCATTTATTTTTGCCAGGAGTTGAGATTGATTTGCAACTGATTTCACTTTTTCTTGATAATGAGCATTGTGACTGGGCTCAGTTTGTGGAATGCTTGAGGTGGCTCAGGGGTATAAATTGTGGACAGGGAAATGAGCAGAGCTTGCACAGATAGAGGGATGGGGTGATTTTAAGGTGATGTTCTGTAACCAGTAGAGCTACTGAGTGTCCATGTAAATATTGCAGGAACAGTAATGGCTTCATAGATTTTCCTGCACTAGCATCCACTCATTTCCTTGATACCATGTGTGAAGGGAAATAAGACTTTAAGGCTATGGGTATTTTGTTCACTAATCTTAATTCATATTTATTCATATTTGGGGGAATATTGTATTTAAAGATTGCTTTAAAATGGCATAAAGATAATAATGGAAAATAAGCTATGTTTTTAAGAAGGGCACACATGAATTTGTCAGAAAACAAATGCTTCTTAATTATATGCCATTATAAATATTAGTTATGTGCAAGCCTTGTGTATTAAATGTGAAAATTTGTTAAAGGGACATACTGCTAAGAGAGTTTTATTTTAATAAGGTAATATATTTTATTATATTCAAACAACCTTCATTTCTAAGTGAAACAATTATGTGTAAGTCACTGGCATGTGACTGGGTGCCTTTTATTGGCTGCTACAGCTTGGGGAAAATAGGTAAGAATTACTGACCGTCTAGTTGGATTTCTTGTAGTACATTACTATTTGTTATATATATCAGTAGTTCAAGGTGGCACCTCAAATTAATGGCATCTTCATTAGGAAAAATGAAAAGCCTAAGACCAAAGAAATACCTAAATGGTAGATGACATTATAGTCTGCCACCTGAGAGTCTGCTACAACGTGAGCATAGTTTAAACGACTTGTGCACGATATTTAACCCTAACGACAACCACGTGACATGTAGTAATGAACGGACGAGAAAACGGAATGGGAGACATTGAGTAACGTGACCCGGACCAGCGGCCGGTGCGTGGCCGGGCCCGACTTTAGGCCTTGGAAACAAACCGGTCAGGCGACCTGGCGGCCCCGGCTGACTGCTGGGATGGAGCCAGGTCCTAGTAGCGCAGCCCTGGCCCCAGCCCAGCCCGGCCCGCTCGGTTTAAAGGCCGCCTAAAGCCGGGCCCCGCCTCCCGCCCGCGCAGCCCTTGTTCTCCCGCCCGCGCCCACCT